TGTAGAGAAAGGCAGGAAACAGCACAAAGAGACAAACACAAAAACCATTCCACTGACTTTCCTCACACAAAACAAAACTCACACAGCACGCTAACATGTGAATTGTGTAATCCTAAAGGAAAATTACAGCTAATTCCAACTATGGCCTTATTTTTTAAGTTTTGTTCCATCATTTCTATCAGTTATGATAACATTATACTCAAATCTGAAAAACACAAGTAGTGTGTGCACAACTACAGTAACTACAGCAAGTCAAAGATACACCAGAAACTGGGTCATTAGACTGTCATAGATGTTCACGACAGAGTTTGGGTCGCAATCTTTCACCTTCATATTCTCTTCCCTATAAGTTTGACTAACCATGGGTTTGTCCTGGCATTTTAGCGATGTTGTCATGTCCCCTTAGAAATGAACAAGAGACACTCGACAAATGTAAGTCTAATAATCACTTTATATCTTTGAGCTCTTTGTTTGGTCTCTACCAACTCCTGAGATAAATTAGCTGTAAATGATCCACTGTGTTCACAAGTTGCTAACTGTCTGCTTTTTGGTGGGTTTTTAAGAAAGCCAACTGCTGCTGGAAACTTGTTTGTACCCAAACAGTAAAGTTGTGTGCCATATAACTAAACTAAATACACCATAGAGCTGTGTCTGTGCTAATTCTCTGTTGATTATAACAGTTTTAAGGAGGCAAGATATATGTTAAGATGCGTCTGTCTCTATACACGTGTTTGTACAGCTGAACGCACACTGAATCAGCAAAAATTGAGTCATTGCATTTAATTAGTGATGCAATGGCATGAGAGCCAGCCGACACACACACACACACACACACACACACACACACACACAATAATCCCTCCCTCATTAGGTGTATTGTGGGGATGCTGATGTAATGCAAGTTAATCTGTTGGCCTCTGGTTGGCTCGGTGGCCCAGCGGGAGCTCTTTGTGTGGGACGTTAACCCGGCCCCGCCCCCTGGAGACAGGTTCATTAAGACTGACGCTGATACCCAAGTACCCAGTCCTTTTGTGTGTGTGTGTCTGTGTGTGTGTGTGTGTGTGTGTTTGTGCGCATTTGTGTGTGTGGAACAGTGCGTTTCTGTCAGTTATAGCAGAGACAGTGCAATAAAGAGACTGGACATAAAGGCACTGCTTTCTCAGCATGTGCTTGAGAGCACGTAGGCCAGCAATCTTGATTGGCGTGCAAGTGTGTGTGCGTGTGTAATTCACAGAATAGGCATTTCTGTGTGTGAACTTTGTGAATGTGAACCACTCTTACAAACTTTGTGAGTCTCTAATGCCTCAGTGTATTAGAACCATATTTCTGTGGTGCGTTTATGTTTCGCTGTTGCTGGAAGTGTCAAACGGTCCAACACATAAATCTAAAACAAGCTGTTTCTCTGTGATGTTGAGTAACACTGATTTCCTGTCATACAAGTCTATTTGTGGGTTGAGGTAAAATATGAATGGGAGGGTAAGGGGTTGGTTACCAATAGGGGTCAGTGATATATTAGTTGAGAAACTGTTAAAAAAACCACACAGGGATGTCTTTTACTAAGTAGTCCTGAGATTTTAAAGGAAGAGCTACTTAAATACCACTGTCAAAACAGTATAGATTCAAAATGGCATGGTTTAACTGGAAAGGTAGAAATGGCATAACCTCTTAAAAAGATTGGAAAAATCATCTTATTCCACTATGTGTGAGAGATAATATACATATTTTACATATGAACATATATGTGTTTAAATATTCAAATGGAAATGTTCAAATAGTCAAATTGAAATATTCTAGATGTATTGTTAATTTTTAGTTAATGCAGTTACGTCAAACGATAGAGAAAAAATATTTAAGCATTTTTTAAATATGCTTAAATAAATAAATAGCAATTCATTTTAAGCTGAGTCTTTTAGGTTTATGTAACTAATTTTTTTCTTTTGAAAAGACTTTAAAAACATTAAACTTAAAACATTAAAACTTAAAAAGTTTACTTAACCCTAAGAGTGGAAAAGTGGAAAAAGTACTGAGGAAAAGTAGCACAGTGTAACAAAACTCCATTACAAGCCCTGCATTCAAAATGTTACTTTAAAAAAGTAGCCTACCAGCAAAATCAAGTGAAATAGGGGGAAAAAATCCTATGAAACATAATGGAGAAGATGTACACACTATATAAAATAGAAATATTTAAGTAAAGTACTTCAAAACTCTACCTAAGTAGACAACAGTACTGGAGTAAATGTGTGTCTCACCTTTGATAGATAGCATACATTTTTCAAGAAGCAACAGTACAGAAAAACTTCTACCGCTATATCATCATATCACTAAAAGCTAACAAATAAACAGAAAATCACAAATTTTGTTTGGGTGGTCACAGTCAGTCCTGCAGGCTGTGTCCCTCCAGCCCACCAAATTAAAAATAGGAGAAGGATTATTTGTGGTCTGGTGGGGTTTTAGTGTGTGAGATGGAGTGTGTGTTTGCTCCCATGTGCAACCAGAGCAGCGGCAGCGTACTTAGCATGGGCTTTAAATAGCTAACTCAAATAAAGTGAGAGGAGGCCGGGGATCAGAGGCTGAGAGGGACTCTGTGAGGGAGGCATTCCTGAACGGAAGCTGGCCTTTGGATTTCCAAACAGCATTCGGAGCGAGCAATGCCAGGAATGTGATGTCGTCCGGCAGAGGCTGTGAAAACCGCCCGGCCACCAGGTGCTGGTGGGTCGCCTGACAGGAAGTGCAGCAGGAAGTGCAAGCAGAGGTCCGGCTAGGGGACAAAATGGCGGCAGGTGACTCAGCAGAGAGGACAGCAGCCAAACTGAAGGTTGCTACTGTGGAAGCAGAGCTTCTATCAACCCTGAAAATCTCTGAATTGCTGAAAAGGGAAGACGACTCCCCCTCCGAAAGAGCCTCTTTCTCATCGACTAACTGCTCTTCTGCACTTTGCCTCCTTTTTTACACACTGTGTTAAATTTCTATTCTTTCTCGTCCTTTTTACCTTTTGACGGCCTTCTTTGTGTGCAGGCTGTGGGAAAGTCTCCCGTAATGGTGAGGTCATCCACCACCGACAACCCCCCAACACCACCACCACCACCACCACTTCCATCACCCCCACCCCCCACACAGACACACACACTATCATTACACACACCCCCCTACTCTTCATGCTGTCCATCTTTCTCCAGGCCAGGCAAGACTGCAGGACTGTGATGTGTCCCCACGACTCTGTCCCACTTCCAGTTCCTCACCTCCCTCCACAGAGACCAGGAACCTGAATAGAGCCTCATTCAAAACTGGTATCGGCTGATCTGGCCTCTTAAAGTCTCAACCAACACAGAGAGGCTGGAGACAGACAGATCAGCAGATCTTTGAGGTACCAGGAGGCCCGTCAGGTATTTAAATCACCTTTTTCTGTCATGTGTACACCCTCATATGCTCTCTTTCTCTTTCTTAAACACACACACAAGCTTGGACACACTTTGACATTGCCAAGTTTATTTAAGAGGGTGGTTCTTCCTGTATGTGTGGACGTGCTCAGCATCTGCTTCGTGGTATAAAACTGCTGTGATTATAAAAGGAAGAGAGGAAACAAAACTAAAACACAGAGAAACTGGGTATATATATGAATACCATCATGTTCTGTGCATTTAGTGTGTTCTCAACTCATCCATACTTGGATTCAGTATGCAGTGTGAAATTTGGTGGCTGATTACTGCCACCTATTGGCAAAACTATACACTACAACTTTAGATCTTAAAGGGTCAGTTCACCCCAAATCATAAAACACCTCTAGTCACTCACCTGTAGTGCTACTTTTCCTAGAAGTCTTCACCCCAAACAGACACTTTATTTGTGGTGCACAGAGTGAAATGGACTAGTTTTCTGACTTACTGTCAACAAATCCAACAAAAACCAACAATAAATGAATCTCCAAACAAGTACTGTGTCTGATGTATCTTCCTCTGTGCCATAGAGCTCCATTGCTGTCTTACCATGAACACACACAGTAGTTTATTTTGACATATTCTCACACACTGTCCTGCTGCTCCAAATACTCAGTTGAGCACCACATGTGGATTCTTCTGCCGCTGAAAATGCATTATTTCCTACTGTTTGAGTAACATTTGTTAAAAACTACAGTGAGCAGCTGTTTTAGGAAAATGATGAGACATATATTTTTTAGATGAAACTATATATTTGTGACCTGATTTTAAAGAAGTAGGCTACATCCTTAGGAGGCCACAGTGCCAGACACAGTGACAGACTAACACTGTCACGACCCCCCGGCCGTGACCCTGGCCCCCTAGATGGTATGTATGTGAATGTATTAGTTGCATTCTTTTGCCCTTTTGGTGTGCCTGCTGTGTGCTTGGTGTGTTTTTGTTTGGTGTCTGTCTCTGTGTTCTGCTCTCCCCCTCATGCTCTGGATGCTGCTGGTGGGCGTGGTCGCTGGTAGTCCTACCGGCACACCGGGGCTCATCACACCACTCAAGTGCACCTGTTCTACATCCTGCAATCAGCTCACCCATTTAAGCCAGACCAACCTTCCAGTCCTCACCGGATCATTGAATCATCTAGTATGAGTACACGCCAGCCAACTAGAACCAGAACTCAATAAGTTCAACTTATTGAAGTACCTGTTGCTCGTTTTTTTCCCCTGTTCCAACCTCAGACCATCAGCCCAGCGGCCGGACACAGTTCTGCCTACCAGCACCGCGAAATCCAGAGCACAGGAACCCGGATCCCCCCAGTCCCCTCTCAGTTTTTTGTTGACAAAAAATACAAAATAACACCAGCACAGTCCTTTAAAAATGAACTACCAATGTATCTTTTCAGAAACTTCAGTGTGAACAGTTTTCATTATGTATGAGCACCATCAACAAAATGCCTTTTTTCCCTTTATAAATCAACATTTAACAACTGACCACAACAATACACCATGGGCTAATAAAACACAGAACGATATGCATTGGTCAATACCACTGGAAGCAAGTAAGAAAATGTTTTTCTTTATGGGATTGGTGCACCAAAGCTTTAATAAGATGATGGAATTAGAGATGTTCCTTGGCAACTGATCAACGATCATTTACAAATCAGCACAAGATTACTTTGATGACTAGAGGAAGCTGTGAATGGAAAAAAATACTGTAATGAAATAAAAGTTTGACATTTATCATAGTGACTGTATTTCATCTCTTATTAGGGAAAATCAAAATGACTTTTTCATGGCACAATAACTATACATAAATCCGTATTACTGTGTTACTGTAAAAGGAACATATTAGCATTTATATTAGTAATACAACAAATATACAAGGGGGCAGCTTATGTGCTGCAGTATCCTACTGTGTAAAAATACTATATCATATTCTTCCCTCAACAATATGTGACATAATTGTATACATACTGAGGTACACTGCCTTTAATCCTAATGTACAGTATGTGTTAATATACAAAACTATTTGACAAGTATATTTAGGAAAAAGAAAGACTTTTACACATCTGTAAAAAAAGGGATAAATACTATAAACACAACACAATATATCCACCTTAAGGACAAGGCAACCACATTACTGGCTTTGTCATGAGACAGTATGATTGGTTTTGTTAAATTGGCCTGTGGTTTGCACAGAAGTGATGTTGATCTGATTTACAGGGAATTATAGTCATACTTAAAAATATGTGTTTACGTGCAAAATATAAATATGTTATATCTGTCAGCTGTGACTGCCAGCCCCAACAAAATTCAGTGTAATATAGTACATACATAGCAAGCCTGAAGATGCAGGTCAGAGAAGGTAGTCAAAATGTGACAAAATCTCTGATTCTCATGCGAAAACCTCTGGAGAAAAAGTGTCTCTGATTTTACACAACTTTACACAAATGCTCTTAAAAGTAGTCACAGCCTCCTGCTGGTGAGTTTTTCTTTATACTTATATACAACCTCTGGTGGCGACATCCTGCAGTGCAGTCAGTACAAAAGTTTATTCCGCAGGATGGATCAACAGCACCAGGTGCTGGAGTGTGCAGGTTCATATTTTTTGTTGGAAGTTGATTCCCAGTCCAGGTTCTTCACTCTGCAGTGAGTTTCTTTTTCCTTACTTTTTGTGTGACCCGATCATGACTTTTGAGACGAAGTTGACAATAGCGCTCGCCGGCTGCTCAGGGTCGTGTTCGGCAAACAGATGGCACAGATTTTCAGTCTCACTCTGAGATTTCCTGGCTACAAATCCAAAGATCCTGGAAGAAATGGACAAAGACAAACATGAAAATACATGCAAGAGCTCAGTATTCAGTGTCTCACTTAAAGTGATACTGCACCCAAAATCTGTCCTTTGAGTAGCAAACAGACTCTTTGTAGGCTTGAAGTGTCACTAAAAGGGTTGTTTGTTTGTTGTTTTGTTTTGTGACAGAAAAGCATACTCTGAAACCACTCCATTGCCTATCCATTTTCTCAGTATGTTGACAACATGTATTTTAGCTGAAGTACAGCAAAATGTTCTATACCTCAATAAAGAAAATGCAGAGTTTTCATGTGTCCTGCTGGCCTAGGCAAATATCAACTTCCCCCATTCAAAATTTACCAGGTACCTTTACTGCATTTCAATCTCCATCATGCTCTCTAATGCCCCAGAATTATTACAGATATTTGGAGTTTTTAAGTTTTTAAACTTTTCTATGAATGGAAACTTTAAATGGCAACATAGGAATTAATTGTACTTGACATGAATTCAAGCTAATCACGGCTGTACCTCATGAAGAAAGAAATTCTTTTACAACCACTTTTGAACTGTGCAGGGGGAGAGTGTATTTAAAGACATGGAGAAAAACATTAAGGCCACCTAAACAAGACACAGTCTGGCTCTTGAGATCCTGGGTTCTGAACCTCTGTATGTCACATTATCAAACAAAGACATATTTATTTTTTTAATTATGTAATGGTGATACTTATTGCATCTGCTGTTCACATGTTAGTTCTTTCTTCCTACAACCGCCAAATAGACTTATCAGGCTTATCAGTGTGACTGAAGATGTAGTTCACATACACAACTTTTTCAGTTCTTAACTAAGAAGAAATGCAAACTTATACATCAGAACAAGGTGAAGACATACAGTAAATAAAAGGGACTTACTTTGCAGTAGAACCACTGCCTCTTGTCCATCTGTTTGGGACAGAACAACATAAGAAAGTTATCAAACTGTTATTGGCCCTCAAATGTACTGTATATATTTATATGTCACATATAAAAATTAAAAATACATTAAACATAAAAAAGCCAGTCTCTATTCTGATTCGGCAACAATGTCTTTTATTCAACAATCTCGCAATAATTAAAATATCCAGTATATAAATCCAATACAAAAATATCTTCTCATCACTATCATCTTTAATTTTGCTTTTATTAAAATAACGTGTTAAGGGAATTGTGAAGAATCGGTGGAGACGTGCTCTTTTTGGTGCTTTCTGTGAGAATATATATGAATAATGACAATAGTCTTATTTCAGTTCATGAATATGAAGCCATGATACTCACTTCCGGCCCTGTGGGTCGAGAGAACAGAAGATGACGGTGTTGACAGCGTAGTGTCTCCTGAAGAACAACCTGCAGGAACAGAGACAGTCTGTATGAGCATGTGGATTCAGATCTGTATCTGCACATGTTTGGACATATGTGAACACTCACTTCCTTTGGTTGTCAGTGAGCGTGATCCCCTGTGCCGACACTTTAAAATGGACGACAGTGGATGCTGGCGGAGGGTCCTTGGAGAGCGTAAGGGTGGTCGCCTTCTGAACCGCCTGCTGTCCCGTCAGAGACTCCAGCTCCACAGAGCCCAGGTACCACACGTTACATGCTGCAGTAACACAAACAGACACACATTCATTTTATTCACTGACACAGAACCAAGTTTTATGTGTGTGTCGTAGCTGTTGAAGTTTTAAAACTCATGCAGGTTGTGTGTAAATATTACATGAATGTTCTGCACAGACACACAATTCACACAAACACATATATCTCATCTCTGTATCTCATGTGTATATACGTGGTGTCTTTCTCATACCTGCTCCCTGTTTGAGGAGCTCAGCTGCAGAGTTTGTTGCTGTCTGTGCAGGCGAGTCATTCAGCTCCTCCACTGGGTCTGCAAGAAAAAACACAGACAAGAGTGTACTGACCAGGAAACACACAAAGTGCATCTGCGCACTGTCCAGTTGCCTGCAAACGATGCATTTGTACAAGGCATGCACACACGTGCGCAACCACACTTGCATATAAGGCTGGGAACTGCTTATATATTCAAATTTTTTGGGTTGTTAGCAACATTTTTAATACTAATGATCTCTGATGGGCAACAACAGCAATATTATATAGCTGTCTTATATTATACTTAAAATAACTAGGTGTAAGAAAATGTTATTTCAAAAAAAACCTAAAACTTCTCAAATGCGTTAGTAGTCGTAGTTTAAAAGCACCATAAATAAACTTAAGTTGAAGTTGATAAATTCCTAACACAAGCGCCTGTTCAAGACCTTTGTCTAAAAGAGTATAAAATTAACATCAAGCAATAATTCAATATAGTTCAATGTAAAGAATTGATTTGTCTTTACTTATAATAGAGACCAAATGCAAAAGAATAAAAACATCACCAAGGATTTAGTGGCAATTTGGGAACAATTTCTGATGCTCAAAAGACGACAAAAGGTGATAATTCAGGTTTGATATCCAGCTTTACTTTACTTCTGAAACTGTTTCATGCCTAAAGTACAGACCCTAAAATCATGTCTTAACCTTCAAAAAGCAGTCTCCACCCATGAGATATAAAAACAAGAAACACACACATCCACGGGTTAAGCTACAAGGTAAATTCACACACACACACACACACACACACACACAGTTTACCTTTGTCAGGCAGGATGAGTTTACAGGGCAGAGCCAGAGGGGTGATGGAGTGCTGACACACCAGAGCTGTGAGACTTCCTGTCAGCAAAATAGGAATATACATGCATGTTGAAGATTTTACAAAAAGCCTCGCTCCCCAGACTGAATGAATTGTGTGAAGAATAAAGGAGCCAGCTGCACCTCACCATACTAAGCAGTAGAGGGTGTCAGAGGAAACGCATTGTAATCCTGGGACACCGTGCTTTAAAAACCTCAGCAGATTAACGGATGGATTTAAGGAAGCAAAAAAGCTCACTGGACTGATTTATAGTGCTGATGACAACAGTTCAAATGTCAGCTCAGCTTTAATGTGTTGTGCTTTATTGCACCAATAGTACAGCAGGCCTGGCCTTGGGTTGATGGACAGCACTAGTCCTTTACTATCACCTTTAGTGTTACTGTTTAGGGGAAATATTGTTCTTTTTACTCTTTAACATTAATCAGTAATGCTTCATTATACAGGTCATTAACTTCCTTACTTATAAAATAACGCACCATTTATCTGACAGCAGCATTAACTACTCCCCTCGCAGTTAAACAGTTAGCCTTTGATACTCCTGGAGCAGCTTCAACATTAGAATACTGCTTAAACAGAGTATAAAGCAACCGTTTTACTTTTAAATTTTTCACTTGGGTGACAGGCAAGCCAGTGTAATAACCATGTGTACTAGACTGACAAAGTGTATCAGTGTTTTATTCTAAATAATTCTCTGAGAAGGTGATACGATTGTACTGTGAGACAAGCGAAGTTTGGAAACCCGTCACAGATTTTGTTACACTACTCATAACGAGCAGGACTTCTTTATGGCAATATTGGATCATCCATCTGATGAACTTGATTTGTCAGGTATTCAATTTACTGGATTAGTCAAAAAGAGACATTGCCAACCCCTTATTTGATCCATAAGTAGTTTCTCAAATGAATTACTAGACAATGTTCAATATCATGATGCCCATGTCCACATAACAATATAAAATTCAATACATTGTGATGCAAGATGTTAACCATCTCAATACTCAACACTGTTTTAGAAACTTTTAGTCTTATATAATGGATAAATCAGCAGCAAAAATGTGAGAAATCATCTAAAACACTCGATAAAGTTTTATTTTCTCACCAAAATACGGCTCGTTGGGGCACCCTTTAAGACGAACTCCTTTCTGTGTGCACTCTATCAGGAAGTGTCTCACCAGCTCACTGGACAGGTCCCCTAGCACAGAGACACAGACAAAAAGTCAGTATATTTTAGTATAGTAGCTTAGTATCAGCATGGAACTTTTAGGAAATTTAAATATGACAAAAAATATATATAAAAAAACATTAAATCATCAATATATCAGTTGCTCAGACATTTGTTATTCAGTTGCTCAAAAATTGATTGCAGAGAAAAAACTTCACAAATCTGCTTTAGTAAATCACACTGTATAACACACAAAACATCACTGAACATATGAATTACTCATATGGTTGCAGTGCTGGACTAACACAGGACTTTGTCAGCTACCTTTCTTACTCTGTTGTAACACAGACGGAGGGGGTGTGGCCACCTTCATGGCCAATCCATATGCCCCACGAAATGAATGACTGTCTCTGACAATGAATGAGCCCGGCTCTTTGTCCTTTAGCATTATGATGGCTGTTCAACAGAGGGAGGAAACACATATAAGCTAAAGTTAGAATCATCATGTTCATATTGTATAAGGTGCAAACACACTTTGCACAAGGGAGTATTATCTGCTTGGAAGTGGCTGCTAGACTCTCCTGTCCAAGACCAATATTTACCTTGGTCTCTGGAAATGTCAGGCTTGTACCAGAACTTGGAGGTGTCCTGAACAAACTTCACAGTGTCCTGCTTACTGCTAAAGTCTGCAAGACACAGATTAAGACTCTATGTTTAGGTTTCAGATTGGCAAAGGCGTAAATATGACAAGACAGCAAATATGACAGCCAAAAGGAAGTGAGACTTGTAAAAGGGCCAGTACACCCAAATGACAAAACATTGTATTATCACTTTATTCATCTCTAACAGTGTGCTGAGATTTTTTGAGATATTCTTGTCTGAAATGTCTGTTCTCACACCAATACATATACTGACGTGAATATAATTCTGTTTGTGGTTCTGAAAGCATACATGTTTAAAAAGTAAATTTAGCAGCAATGTTCCAATTACTATAATCCTTGCTGCAAGCAATTTTCATCAGTTAAATTAGATTATTAACGAAATACAATTTTTATTTTACCCTAAAATGCAAAAACACATTTCTTAAGGTAGCAAAGTAAAATGACTTGTTTTGCCCCTGTGACTGATTGATTATTCTGTGCTCGATCATGAATGTTTTGAGGGACTGACTCAGGTTGAGTGATAAAATATTATATAAACGACACCTCCAACTGTTAGTGATAAAAGTCTGTGAGATGTGGTTGGAAGTTCCTGAAAAAGTGAAATTGGTCAATGCAATTTGTGTTAGCTAACCATTTATAAGAGGCAGATAGATCACAATAAATGTTTTAATGCCACAGAGAGAGACAGAAAGATAAACCTCATGGGACTGGAACAATCTGGGACAGTATACCTGCTCCAGGCGACTGGGCCCCGCTGAGTCCTCTAAGGGGGTCAGGGGTCATGGGGGATGAGAATGGGATGCTGAGACTGCTGCCACTGTGAGGGCTGGAAAATCCACTTAGAGAAGGGGAGCGGGAACCAAGCTCTCCACTCTCACCCACTCTCTTTTTGTCAGGCAGCATTGGAGGGAGGCCCCCGTCTCCCACAAGGTTCAGACTCCCGAGGCCATCCATGGCCTCCAGCAGGCTGTGCTCCAGGCCCCCGTTCCCTAACAACAACGAAGACAAGTCTGTGCTGTCTGTATCACTGCGGGCCCCAAGACCTCCACTCATGCCTCTCAGAGCCCCCCGGGGAGAGCTGTGGGCATTGGGAGTGCTGAGGGAGAGAGGAGGTGAGGGTTGGGGGGGATACGGGGAGTACGGGGAGTTCAGGGAGTTTGGAGTCCGGTCGTGCCACACAGGTGGAGGCGTGGAGCTGCAGAAGAAAAACATGGTCCAGATAATTAATAGTCACGTAAATATTTTCAAATGGAAGCATTCAAACTCTACCTTAGAAGACATTAGAACTAAAAATGTATGAACAGTGAAGTATTTATGAAAGAGCCATATATATTTTTGCGTGTGTTGGGTGCAGAACTCCAGCGGGCCAGTAGGACCTGTCTGCTTTGTGTCAAACGTAATTTAAGCAGGGACCTTTGCACAGGTGACAGGGTTTGCTGGATGGAGGGGAGCACCCACTACGCTGGGTGAGCTGTACAGTGTTGAGTGAGAAAGTTAAGGATTCAAAGGATGTTTGTGGACTGCATATTGTAGTATTGTACTTACTTGAGGACACTAGTAGTAGGCAGCTAGATGAGTGCATCAATTAGATGCCTGTCTATGCAACCCCAAGGGCTTTAAGTGTAAACGTACACACTACAACATACATGAAGTATAACAGCCTAACTTAAAAATAAAAGTTATTCCATAAGTTGATATTTTACTTTGCAGTGCAGTAGCAGTAGTGGTTGTACTGAAACTCTGAGGACAGCAAGCTGTTCCAAAGGATTCTCTTTTTGTGTCATAAAGCTATTTTCCTTTGTGCTGCACAGCAATTAAACAGATTTCCTGCAGAAATTCAACCCTCAAGAGTAGTCGGCATGAAAAAGTCGGCTAAAATCAAGGAGGTTCTGCACCTTTTGGATTTTTTGAGTGAGTAATATGATTAATCATATCTTTGTTTGGGTATTTTGTAGAAGCCTAGGAAATCACTTGCTGTCAGTCGTGACTTCAACAAGTAAAAAGACATTCCTAGTGGTCTGCAAAGAGAAGCTTTAAAAATACAAAGACGCAGAGGTGGAAATAGTAGTAATTGAAGGAGTGAACACTTGTTTCTCTGCTATCCCTCTAATTTGGACAAAAGTCTGTAATAACACCTGACTGACAAAGTGTGCCTCCATCAGAGCTACAGGAAACATTTCTTAACACATACATTAGGACTGTATCTGATGTGTCTTGTCAGAAACTGCGAGAGAGAAGATTCCCTCTTTCACATGTTAAGGGTTTGAAACAAAACCACACAGACACCTGAAAATGTTGTCAAATATAAACTTGTCCAGAAGTTTCACATTAATGTCTTAATCAATGACTTCTATTCCAAGAAGGCTGATGCTTTAGGTAGAACATATGCGTACAATTTTGATTTGACAATAATTTATGATATACATGGCATACTAACAAAACTGTTAGCAACATGTGTTCGTACCTGTCTGTGTGTGGGATGGGGCTGTCTGATGACACCGAGCACATGGAACCAAAGATCCTCTGACAGGAAGCAGACGTGACCGACACTCCCTCTGAGGAGCCGCCGGCGTGGTTCATACCGTCCAGGAAACTCCGGGAATCTGACAAAAAAAGATAAAACAATGTCAATCCTCATTTACTACATAGCTCTCAAATTCTAACCAGACATACTGTCTGGTTAGAATTCCCCAGGATGTGACATTGTTCCGTAAACTATAATAACTGCCTACTTATTACTACAAACAGGTACTTATTTGCAAACACAATCCTTGACACCTTATTCTTCCACAGTCTCATGTCAACTTCTATAATCATTAGCATTCTCTCATAATATCAGTACAAAATTGTAGCCCTTTATTCTCATTATCTCTGATTTACTTTCTCCAAAAGTGGCAAAAATCTTCTTGTGAGTGTGTTTGTTTTAGCAAAATAAAAAGATGAAAAATCTAATTTGAATATCCTTCCCATTTCATGAGTTTATATAATTTACATCTAATAATACAGTGTTTTAATGTGTCGCCTCAAAGGCATAAAAGAGGGATTTCCTGTTAGTTTCAGTAATATGGTCAGATGTCACTTCATAAAAACAATAATCCAGTCTGCCTGTATATATGTGTGTCATATGTAGTTTAATTAGAATTTTTACAATGATTTTCTACATTAATCTTTCCTTTGTTTTTTTGTTTTTGTTTACAAAAATCTGAATTATTAGGAAATAGTTTCACTTACTTGGTGAGAGAGTTAGATAAAAAGATTGATACCACTCTCATGTGTGTACATTAAATACAAAGCTAAAGCCAGCGGTTAGGCTAACTTAGCCTAAAGGCTGAAAGCAGGGGGAAACAGCTTACCTGGCTCTCTCCAAATGTGAAAAATCTCTTGCAAAACACCGCTAAAGCTCACTTAACACTTTGTGTCTTGTGTGGTTACAGATTTTAATAAACATACAATGAGGCCAAGCTAGCTTCCAGTGGTAATGCTAAGTTAGCCTACATGCAGCAGTAGACTACTCTATATCATTAAGGTCATGCCAGTAAAGCAAGTTTCACTGTAAATTTCAGCGTAGCAGAGACTGACAGCGTACAATAGAAGCAGACATGTGTGAGGGCACTCCAAACATCCCGACATGACATCCTGACATTCTGACAACACAGTGTGTCATTCAGCAAACATGAGGGCAGGCCTCCTCAGGCCACAGACAGGCCTGTGAAGTACGATGAGTCACCATGTAAAGAGTCAGTCATTATAAAGAGCTCCTTGTTTCAGGCAGTCTGGCACCCCATACACCCCTTCCTCCCCCCCCCTCCACTCTTCCGCTCCTTCCCTTAATTCAAGTGCTCTGTAATGGAGGATTTTGGCCTCAATGTCCAGCTTTGTTTGTGATCATACTGGACAAGCTACATCATCTCAAGTGGATTATATAATCACATGTGTGCTGTTGATGAAATTTGACAATGCTCGAGTGTATGCATGATGCACCTGTAACACAAACATACTGTACATACACAATTATAAAGCAGAAGAATTTATAGTACTATCTGAAAGTTTGAAGAGGGACCACTAAGCAGTGCCGGCAAAGTGAACTGTCCTCTCAGTGAGTGAAAGGAAGGGGTGGAAAATACATTTACTCAGTAAGTGCTGTATGTAGTGAAGTTACTTATTACTTGAGTTACATCCTTACTTGAGTATTTCCATTTTTATACTTTTACTGTACTACAGGGGAGAACAGTGTACTTTTTGTTTCACTACATTTATTAAATGCTTTGTATTTGTATAGACAAATACAGAGCATGTGTTGCTAAACTACCCAACAGTTTACAGCATAAGGAAAGTAGCACCACATTGTCGACTCCTACATTAAAATGTTGTTTCCATGGTCATGCTTGTATTACAACATACTGTTTGCCTGCATAATGCACATAAACACTGAAAGGATGCATTCTACTTGACACGTATGTTTACTTTTGGTATTTAAATACATTTTCAAGAATTTAAAAAAAGGTTCACTTACTAGTATTTTACTGATAACCCCAAAGTGCCCCAGAAGCCCCAAATTCACTGTGTGTAAACTGATTTTTGATAATTTAATTACTTAATTAAACAACTCATTTATTACACAATCATGTAAGTAAAATGTAAATTTCCTCTGTTAGTTTAAGCTTTTACGTGTAATGGAGCAGGTTTACATTGTGGTCTTGCTACTTCATTGAAGTAATGGATCTGCACAACTGGTCAAGGTTTTCGGGTTTAATATGACTTTCCCATGGTGGGATGTCTCCCACACAAATGTATATAGTGTCGACATTATGTATGGTGTATCAGATGTCCATAAGTGAGACCGTACTGGCAGCTGCTGTGAACAGGACTCATTAAACATACTAAAAGTTTAGTTTTGTATGTCCAGTGTCTGTATGTCAGATCATCAATGTGTGTAATGTAACGTTTCTTGCTGTCTAAAGTTAAAGTTCTTTCTGTGCAATACAAACTTCAATGATAACCGAGTTGTCCTTTTGATATTCAAAGAAAGCTGCTTTTAGCTAAAAAAAAACACAAAACAAATAATAATGAACAAATTAGTTTAAATGATCTTGAACGCAACCTGCATAGTGTAGTTCTAAGCTGTCTCCAAAGAGTCACATTTTACAGATGCGAAAGTTTGATGATTATGATTAATAACAGAAATCTCAGACTGTTGCATTTTAAAAGGTTGGCCAACAGTTTCACCTTTATCTAGGATTTTATACTATGGTGTTATATCCAACATGCTTCCAAACATTACTCTTCAGATGGTTTGGTGCTATGTGATACCCCCATAAGGGTCTCTGATATACCTCACAGGCAGTCGCTCAACTTGAACTCTTAGGGGTTAAAGGTCAAGAACACAGAGTAGCTTATGTTGTGTATGCCAATAATTAGACATAAACCTCTCATCACTGACAGAGAGACTTACTCATGCACAGCTCAGAAAATGTAGATAACTAAGGATGTTGTTGCTGATCGAAGAAAATAAACACAAACACAAACTGAGGGGAATGCACTGAGGGCAGCAGGATTCCTCAAACATTCCCACAGTCCCTGTCAGTGAAACTCTCTCGGGATGATTCCCAGAAAGCAGCCGAGCTTCGTCTCACTCTGTTCCCACGGCTGATTCTCCTCGCTGTGGTTTGTCACATCTGCCACTCTGCTGCTCATCCCAGCTCATCCCGTTAATTACAGAACAGCCCAAATTGTGGCAACACCGACTGACCCCATCCTGACCTCTGACCTCAGACCTCAGACCAGACTCTGCTCTGTAGGGCTCCACTGGTCGTTATTAACACACCTTTCACCCCCCTGTATCCACGCTTCACAGTATCCATAGCTACTCATGTGCATGTAGACATGGGTTAATAAAGAAACCCAGAGACAAGACTGAGAGAAAGAACATTCTGTGCCCAGTGTGAAATAGACAGAAGTACATCCTAATACCAAGAATATAAAGGAATCAATCATGAGTATTTGAGTTCAACATATTTTATTTGGACTTGCACTCTCTCTCAAAACAAACGATCTGGTATTGGACCTCAATACTTATAAGTTCCTAAAGCAAATGTGTCCATGGCAATAGCGAAAGCTGGCTTCGAATACAGTATAATCTGAATAAACTAAATTTTCCTTCTTTTTCTTCTGAATCATGAATCACAAGTACTTGGACTTTTTCATTCCTCATGCATTTTTTTATGCACATCAATAGCATTTAGTTTAGTAGACAACCTCTAAAACTTTACAATTTATTGTTTTCTAAAAGTTTGGAGTGCATTTCCCCTTGAGTTTTTTTCAACTGTGTTTTTCTATCCACTGTTTTCTCCTCACTTGTGCAGCTCTGAGTGAACACAAAGACTCTTCAGTGTGGGTCGAACCGTGCAAAACCAATTCCAGATGGCACGGACCCATGTGGGCATGACTGCCAACCTCCACCAGCCAATAGACCTGCCCCCCCGCTCCCCCTGATCACAGTGACGGTTTATGCCTCATGCTAAAACTGAGTGCATTCCTTCATGCTTGCTGTGGAGGTAATCCCATTAATCAATACAACTAGAGGGAGGTTATCTGGAGTAAAATATGTCTCTTCATATTTCGCACCTCTGACCACGCTGGCTGCATAAGCGGGATGGTATGAAAGGCAAAGCAGAGATTTACAGAGAAATGCAAAAAGATGAAACACATACAGCTGTCACATGTTCGGTTTAGCTAAAGAGTTTGTGTATTGTGTTGTGACAAAAAAAGTTCTCCTTGTCTTTCTTTATCTCTTCCACTCACGCATCCAAACATTTAGCAGCTTCGCAGTAGACAGTAGGGTGAGCCTACACACATGCATAAGTACAATGATGCACATAGAGTTATGCAGGACAATAGTGGGTTTGCAAACTCCCTGCTGACCACAGGAATGTGAGTGCACATTGTATGCACACACACACACACACACACATACACACACACAGACTGAGGCTGATAGGTCTGAAGGTCCACGGCATGTTACAGCTGTTCACAGACTGCAGCTTCTCAGGGCTATGAAGGGAAATGAACGAAAAGACAGCTGCTGTGATCCTGAGGCCAGCTGAAAGTCTATTATATTGAGCAATAATTAAAAAGCCAAAAAAGACCCTGTGAGGGGCAGATCATGCTGAACTCTGATGGTCTGATAATACCTGCTAACTTACTGTATTAGATTCTGAGAGGGAGCTTAATTCACAGCTCTGTGAACTTGCTTGATTGGATGATTTATCAAGTTGACGCCAGACATGATGAACTGACTACGACTACAAAGATTTTGGAATGTTTGATATTTTAAAATCAGATATTAAGAATTAAAAAGAGGAAAAATAACCCCGTGACCTGAGCCCAGATAAGTGGATGAAGATGGATGGAAAGAGGAAAAATAGTACATTTCCAGGATTAGGGAAGTTTGAGTAACAAACTTTGAGGACGACTGTAGGAAGTTGAGAACAATATTATTAGGCATAGCAGTAAAGAGGAGGTGTCAAACCTTCCACTCAGTTCACCTTTTTGCAAATTTCAGGTGTGTAAAGCCAGTGCATAATGGAGACACCTTCACCTACTT